TTTTCCTCCAAGCATAAGCTTATAGTTATGCTTTCAAATTATTACCTTTTTAGCATAGCCTAAATTTCGAAAGAAATTGATTTTTTTCTTGATAGAAGAAATAGGTAAATAAGTGCACTAATTTTTCGAATTTTTGTTCCCAAATTTGTCCTCACATTTCCTTTTCCCTTTTTTTGATAGCGGAAATATGGCTAGAGGCAGTCACAAGGGAGAAATTGGGGAAAGAAGGAGAGCGGAGGTGATTTTATCGGAAATGTGGGAGAGAACAAAACGGTAAAATTTGTTTCACTCAATCATTTCAAGAGGAAGTCAAGGGAAAAGCTTAGCAACTATGTGTGCTCCTGAAGTTTTGGGTAACTCGAAAAAGGCAAGCTTTCTTCCTTGAAACTATGTCGGCAGACGAACGATGACGACTATCGTTTTAAATACATAAGAGTATCTTGCAAATCATTCTATGCTCTGGAAAGAGAGCATGTTGAGCAATTCCTGGCCTGATATAGCCTGCGTGGATAGATCTCTTTAATAGCACTCACAACGGGTCTATGGGTCACTATAGGCCTGGCTATCGCGATTTTCTAGACGTCTGCGACTGCGCTACAGAGACAAATTTGCGCCATCTGTCGGCATTATAAACTGGTTTTTGCTCGATTTGTTATGAACCACATACCAAGAATTTCGATTTTGGGTCATATCAAGCGGCTAATCTTAGTGCGATTAGAATATTTTACCTTCAACCCGACTAGGATGTAGTTTTCTCAGTAATTTCTTACCATGGTGAATAACATTGTACCTATTGGGAGCCCATAGGTTTTTAAGGGGTTTTAGCTCCTGTTTTGCTGGATCGTCTGACCCCTCTATAGGACTGTTGTCAACAATTGCATGAATGTGTTCAAGTAGTCATCTCAGCCTAGCTTTACTCTGTGTCCATGATTCTATCTGTGTATGTACGTATGCTCGTCGTTCGTTCGTTCGTTCACAGATCACCCCTACTGCTGCCTCTCCCCCCCGCATCGATTCGGCCTCATTTGTGAGGCAGCCAGCACACACTCTCGATCTCCTTCTTTTCCTACAAGTTCTACCTCTTAGTTTTTTAAACATTCTCTCGCAGTTGAGACAGTTTACCACACAGTTTCTTCAAAAAATTATTTGAAAACTAGGAAAATTCACGAATTTCTCGGGTTTCGCGAAGCCACGCCTTCATCGAAGCAATTGTAAACAATGGGAAAAAGCACATTCTCTTCGAACATTTGCTTCCCATGTCGTTTTTTTCCTGCCAAACCGAAACATGCTATCCTCAAATCTTTTAGTTTTTTCTCCCCTGTCCTAGAAAAATCTATAGCTCTCCTCTCTTTGCCGTCACAGCATGAATTATGTTGGTTAAAGATCACTCCGTTCTGCCTCCTCTACGAACGCGAACAAGGCAGGAAGCCAGCGAACTATGGATATTAGCCAAGAGTTGGAAAATCGAAAAAGTACCATTTTACACTCATAAGGACTAGCTCTACATCTGGGCGGGACGAAGACACACAAAAAATTTCTGCTTCTTTCACTCCTCTCATAGGTCGCTCTCTCTAAAGGTTAGCGCATATGGCTCGCAGCCTATTCGTCCATTACATGGTTTTATAAGGTCGCAGGTTGCTGTGTTGGGTTTAAGCGTTCATTTGCCTTTTACCTTCGCTTACCCATCCTCAGATTTACTTCATTCCTTGCATACATCAATTCTTTTTTCATCTTGAGAGTTACCTCTTCATTAGACAAACTTCTTATTATATCTAACACCTCCTTACCTTTCTTGCATTTTCCAAACTTGTTCGGAATGCTCCTTCTTCAACAGTTTTAACTCTCTCAAACTCCACCCTTTACTCCGCCTTTTTCAGAAAAACAATATGGTTGGAAGGACAAAGAAAGTTGCTGGACGTGGTCGAGGTCGACCTGCGAAAGCGACCAAGGACGAAGATGTAAATGGAGAGGATAAGACGATAGTAAAGGTAATTAGAATGGCAATTCTTCAGAAAAAATTCTGG